GGCCACTGATGTTCGTTATCCTTGGCAGAAAATCTAAATCGGGGCGTCGCGTTCATAACCCCGTGACTACACACACACACGCACACCTAATGTGTACAAATTGCAAACAAACCCAATATGCACGTTGTTAAATATGGCCTGCGGTCAAGAATACTAATAATAGATTGGCAGTCAATGAATAAAACGTTCATTGACGTTCGAGAGCAGTCCAACGGAGGAGGTGGAGCGATGAAATAAATGTGCTCGGTGGATTACTGCATTACAGAATAGGTGGCGGCGGTGGCTTGTGTTTCAAACGCAACGCGTCAATAGATTGCAATCAACTAGAAGTTCATTCATACCAAGTTAAATGTTATTACAATTATCTTCTAACAATTAAATCGGTAGTAAGTCAGGTTATATGTAGACATACTACACCAGATTAATCTACATATATTTTTTATGTTATCACGTAAGGCTCACCGAGCTATATGCAGTAGCCCTTTTTCAGAAGCGACCTGGCCACAAATGATGGCTCAACCGAGTCGCTTATCACGTGAAAATGTCGAGCAGCCAAATACTCTAAACGCACGTTGATTCTAAATGTGGAGGGGAAACACTGGAGGACCCGGAGAAAAAAATCCACGCGACCACGGAGAGAGAGAGACACGCAAACTCCTAATATACAGGCGTCAGGGTCGGGAACGAACCCACGACCTCCTGCACACCAGGCGAGGTAGTAAACATCGCGCCACAACTATTGCATCCACACCACAATGACGTCGCTGGCGATCATACGAAAGTCGCTTCGTGTCACACGAATAGAAGGCAAGGGTTGGTGGATCACGCACGCACGGATCTGGGAAACAACTTTCCAGACCCCATTGGGGCTGAGAGGGAACCAGGGGCCTCGATCTGCGTGGAGCGTTCACTTTGCATCCCCTTGTTCACGCGTGGTGGGGTTTCTCCCAGGTCTCCGCTTTCCTTCCCACGCGAAGCACCAACGCTCATTTTATTGGAACTGAACAAAACGATGCATCGCACACGCGTGGCAGAAGCCTCCTGGAAACGAGTCGTTGATATTCAGGGAGGCCTAATTTGCCGAGTATATAAAAGCCATCGTGTCGGATATATCTGGGCACACATGCATCACGAGGAAACATCTACCATCTTCACCGGATTATAAGACGCATTTGTTTGTCCTGTGCATTAAAGCATACGTGTGTGTATGTGTGTGGGGGGGTGGGTCATGCAACTTACAAACCGGTAGGTGTGTGCGTACGTGGCAACATTTGATTAACTTCATAGAAGTTGGACGCAAGTTTTGGAGTGCGCCTTATAATACAGACAAGATTACATATATAAAAAAAGATTTACATGCGTCGTAAGCATAATAATTGCGTATTCATTAAATCAGAGCTCGCGAACGAGCGCTGCGATAACACAAACCAAAGGTCCCTTTTTCAGTCAGCGCTGGTGGGAGCAAAATCAAAACGCGGCCTTGTGCATCACGCCAATTCTCTCTCTCTCTCGCTCTCTCCCCTCCTGAACCTTCTCCCCGTGTGACCCGAAGTTGAACCTCGATGGTGAAAGAAGCCACGACGGCAAGTTTTTTTTTTTATCTCAGGGAACTCCGATTCTTGGCTGGGTAGCGCGACGGACGGGGTGAGTGGAGGGGCCAGGAAACGGAGCCACCTGTACAGGGCAGCCAAAGGCCTCTCCATCACCACCACCCCCCCTTCCCCTCCACCCCCATCCCACTATCTCAGTCTCTCTCGTGGATTATTGTTGAGTATTTTGCTCTCTGTAAACTGCGCCCCGCCGCGATGCCGAACGCACAACGGAGCAATATTATGAAGCCAATGGAGAGATGCACATTCACATCACGTAGATTGAACACGAATTTCGTTATAACTGCTTCGTGATGTCTTTAGTTCGCTGTCCCCCCCGCACCTCCGTTTAGCATGGTTAGCTATGTACGGTGCGACAGAGGTTCAATATACACACCGTACACATATCAATATACACACCGTACACATATCAATGTACACACCGTACACATATCAATGTACACACCGTACACATCAATATACACACCGTACACATATCAGATTGAAACGTTATAATAAGGAGCAGGCTGGGGCGGCGTCTGTCAGGGCGCGGGCAGGCGCAGGGCCCGGTCGGCTCGTGAACCCGGCGGACTTAAGTTGGATTCCCGGTCACGGCAAACATCGGTTGGCGAGTGACATCTGGACGGGTCTTGGATCAACCCCCAACCCCGCTTAGGCGAACCGCACTGACCATAGCGGTGAAGTATGACCAACACCGCACTCCGACGAACGACACGGGGTTGGTGGGCGAGACGGGGGGGGCGGGGGGGGCAGGTCTTCATTCATCCAGCAGTCTTTCGGTAAAGTCACGTAGATTGGTTCAAAGAAAATGACAAAAAACTACGACGTTTAGATCGCGACACAAGCGGTCGTTTTTGTTCGTTCCTGATGACGACCGCTTGTGTTGCGATCGAAACGTCGTAGTTTTTTTGTTATTTTCTTTGAACCTATCTACGTGACTTTACCGCAAGACCCAAAGAATATGAATACCTGCAGTCACGAAAGCTTTAAGTCGATACCGCACTGTAGGGGCAAGTGCTGTTAGCGAGCGCCTATGAAGGCCGGCACGGTACACGAGGCAGGTGAGTGGCCAGCACCACGCTCGACCGCCTTTGTCTCCCCAGTGGCGATGTTTACACGCCGCACCAGGTACTCATTGGGGACTGAATCGACTCACGGCAATCCCCAGGACCTGTTCTGCTAATATAATCGTCGCTGGCGTAAACGCGCGCGCTAACACGCAATCTCTCTCTCTACACCTAACTTTTAATACGCCCAACTTTTAATTGCGCCCAATAAGACAGTCAAGAACCCGTTCTGAAATCGCCAATCAAACGCGTTCGGGCTTAATCAGGCTGCACGGACAGGTTTAACATAACAGGTGCAGCCTAGACCCTGACTCGCTAATGTGGGCTTCACGGTGTTGAGATGTTAACTACCTCGCCCGCCATACAGGAGGTCCGTAGGTTCGATCCCGACCCTGAGACGCCTGTGTATTTGGAGTTTGCGGTGTCTATCTCCCCGTGGTTGCGTGGATTTTTTTTCTGGGTCCTCCGGTTTTCTTCCCCCCCCCCCCCCACCCCCCTTCACATTTATAATAATCAACATGCGCGTTTAGAGCATTTGTGCCCGCTATGAATTTCCACGCGATGATAAGACACTTCGTAATAGACCTATCATTAGTGATAGCCAGGCAAGTCGCTTCTGGACAAACAAAAAAACTATACGGGTCAGTGGTGGGCCTAACCTGGTTAAAATAAAAAAAACAAACCGTTATTTCAAAATCGTTTCGCAAAGTTTCAACTTTACAACGCGCGCGTGCAAATCGAATTGATGGGTCGGCGCATTTGAATAGCGGCTGCGAGATTCGTATTTTGTTGTCGTGTCCGCCGCGGAGATAGCGGAGCGGTGGCGTGGGTTGGGTGAAGAGGGGGTGGCACTCAATTAGGCAGGAGGACAATTGTCTCGGCAATCTGCATCACAGAGCCACGAGATGCCCTGGCCCGCTCTCCGCTCTCCTCTCTCCGTGGGTCGCGCGACGCGCCCAGCGGCCCCGCGACTCGGCGACTTCTCGAGTTAAGTGTGAAGGCAACAAAGGGCGCCATTTGATTTCTTGTCTCTTAACGTGTCGCCTAACCCACCCATCGCCTCCCCATCCCTCCCCTCCCTCCTCCTCGCAACACAGACGTCGAGAGAACGTTTGTATTTAAAGGCCCCTCTCTCCACGGCACAATGAGCGGGTGGGTGACCAACAGTCAGTTATATACAATTGACCGGGTAAACACAAACGTCTTAATTCCGTAATTGACGGCGGCTAAGTGTTCTTGCGTACACAATGGGGGCTCGCGTCGCCCCTAATGTTAAAATGGATTAAGGCGTTTAACAAGCAAACGTGGGAGCGCACTACGGACACACACGGAGAGAAGAGAAGACACACACAGGACAACATAGACACACACACAGGGCAACATAGACACACACACAGAGAGGGCAACATAGACACACACACAGGTCAACATAGACACACACAGGTCAACATAGACACACACACAGGTCAACATAGACACACAGGACAACATAGACACACACACAGGACAACATAGACACACACACAGGACAACATAGACACACACACAGGTCAACATAGACACATACACAGGTCAACATAGAGAACACACAGGACAACATAGACACACACACAGGTCAACATAGACACATACACATGTCAACATAGACACACACAGGACAACATAGACACACACACAGGTCAACATAGACACACACACAGGACAACATAGACACACACAGGTCAACATAGACACATACACAGGACAACATAGACACACACAGGACAACATAGACACACACACAGGTCAACATAGACACACACAGGACAACATAGACACACACACAGGTCAACATAGACACATACACAGGACAACATAGACACACACACAGGACAACATAGACACACACACAGGTAAACATAGACACACACACAGGTTAACATAGACACACACACAGGACAACATAGACACACACAGGTCAACATAGACACACACAGATGACAACATAGACACACACAGGACAACATAGACACACACAGGACAACATAGACATACACACAGGACAACATAGACACACACAGGTCAACATAGACACACACACAGGACAACACAGACACACACAGGACAACATAGACACACACAGGTCAACATAGACACATACACAGGTCAACATAGACACATACACAGGTCAACATAGACACATACACAGGTCAACATAGACACACACAGGACAACATAGACACACACACAGGACAACATAGACACACACACAGATGACAACATAGACACACACAGATGACAACATAGACACACACACACAGATGACAACATAGACACACACAGAGATGACAACATAGACACACACAGAGAGAACAACATAGACACACACAGGTCAACATAGACACACACAGAGAAGATAGCCCAATATAGGCACGCAGAAGAGACCTTTGCATGGAAAGAGAGAGTGCCCGCCACCAGACCATGCACAAGCCACGTGGGGCGGGTGTCGGCTGGGCAAGGGGCGTGCGGGCGGGGGGGGTTACTCAGAGGGCCCGGCCCAGCTGTTGAGGAGCCGCTGAACTCTACTTGAACCAGTCTATCTGGCCGTGATAGGTAATAGCGACCTGTAAAAAGAAAACCCCAACACAACGACAAAAAAAACCCTCCTCCTAATCCAGCCACGGCGAAGCGGGGGGTGCATAAAAAGAGGTCGGAGCTTCACACCACTCACTCGGAGAAGGAAGGGAGCGAGGGTGGCACCACACCACCCGGCCTCTACCGCTACCCCACAACGCTCACGTGCGCCTGCTGCGCATAAAGAGGAGCCCTCGGAGGCGCGTGATAAATTCACGGCGAGCGGGAGACGCAGCCGCGCGTGACACCATCGACAATCGCAAACGAGGCGACGTTCAACAGTCGACGCCGACTTCCACGACCACGCGGTTCCACGTTCGTCCGCCATGGCTTTGCTCCAGCTGGCGATCACCGTGACCATCACGATCTTCACGCCGCTGCTGCTGCTGCTGGCCACGTGGAAGCTGTGGGAGAAGTTCTGCCTGCGGGACCGGGACCCCTCGTGCCCGCTGCCGCTGCCGCCGGGATCCATGGGGCTGCCTCTGATCGGGGAGACCCTGCACTACGTCCTGGGGGTGAGAGCGACAACGGCGTTACCACCACCACCACCACAAGCCACGTGTGCGCGCGCGTGTCTGTGTGTGCGCGCGCGTGTCTGTGTGGTAGTGTGGGGAGCGGTAGGGGAGCGGTAGTGGAGCGGTTAGCGCGCTGCGCTACGAACCTGGTTGACCCGGTTTCGATTCTCGCTCACGGCCAACACTCAGTGTGACGATTATTTGAACCGGTTCCTGGGCCTCCCCTAGGTCGACTCGGCCTCAAATGAGTAACCCGGTGCGGTGTCGTAAACATCGGCACCAGGGAGACAAAGGCGGCCGGGCGTGGTGCTGTGCCACCCACCCCCCTCGTGTGCCGTGCCGGCCTTCATAGGTGCTGCTCGCAAGCAGCACTTGCCCCTACAGTCGAGGGGGGGGGGGAATCTTTGTCTTGTGTTTGTGTCTTTGCTTGTGTCTTTGTTTATTTAGGGTGGAGTGCAGGGTTCCGACTGTTGAAGGGCCGCTTATTTATGAAAGGACCATCGCCGTCTCGTATTGCACCACGCAGTGCATTGCGGCTCTTGAAATTTATTGAGATTTTTCAACGATTTTTCGAATAAAAATGTCTCCTCTTTTAATACTTTGGTTTTTGGCCCCTGGTGTAGCGGGCTGCGCTCTGCACTACGAACAATACCAATATGTACCTGCTGCGATGTGTAAGCATCGACACTGGAGAGACAAAGGCGGCCGGGCGTGGTGCTGGCCACCCACCCCCGGCCTTCATTGGTGCTTGCTAACAGCACTTGTCCCAACAGGTTGTCAAGGCTATAGGGGAGGTCTTTGTCTTTGTTTACGTGTGTGTGTAGCCCGATCTGCATTGGTGCTCGCGAACAGCACTTGACCCAACAGGTGGTTTTCAGATAGATATTTGTTTTCTCGAATTCTACGCAGGGCTTGCTTTGCTTCCGTTCGTTGGTGACCACGGCGACTCGCGAGCTCGCAGGGACAGCCGTTAAGCCAGAAGTATACTGGATGTGGTGATCCGCATGGGGAGGGTGGGGTATTTTTAGTTGTTGTTTCTGGTGGAGGGAAACACCTCGTGACAAACCGCACTCTGCCTCACCAGTGCCAAATTTCACCTTCACAAGCCCTTTCTCCCGGAGCAACGATTTTAAAACGATGACTAATGTACGCATATTGTAATTGTGACACGTGCCGCTGTTGATGTTTGCATGGCCGTCGCCCGAGTTCCATTCTCGCTCACGGCCAACATCGGCGACGAATATCTGAACCGGTCCTGGGCCTCCCCGAGGTCCAATCGGCCTCGTATGAGAACCCCGATGCGGCGTGTATAAAACATCAGCTTTGGAGACGCAAAGGCGGGGCGGCCGGGCATGCTGCTGGCCACCCTCCACCTCGACACACATCGCTGCGCTTGTCACGTTCCACCTACCCCAATCGATGTTAGCGCGCCCGGCAACGCCACGTCCACGACGGCGCCTCTCGCCCACGCGGTCCGCTTCTCATCACGTGCGCGGACCTGCTCCAGCGCAACCAACAGGCGCTCACCCGCGGCGCTCGCGGCCCAACGGTTGCCCCTTCGCTCGCTCGCTCGCTCGTCTGTACGCACGCGCGCCCCGGTGCTTCTCTCGCGACCGCGCGTGGCCGAGCCGCCGTGCTCTGATCGTGAGGCGCTCGTTCCCCGGTGGGCTCCGCAGAGGGGCAGCTTCATGGAGATGAAGCGCCAGCGCTACGGCCCCGTCTACCGCACGCACCTCTTCGGCACGCCCACCGTGCGCGTCATCGGCTCCGAGAACGTGCGGCGCCTGCTGCTGGGCGAGCACCGGCTCGTGGCGGCGCAGTGGCCCACGTCGGTGCGCTCCATCCTGGGCGCCGGCTGCCTCTCCAGCTCCTTCGAGGGCGCCCACAGGATGCGCAAGAAGGTGAGGGTGCCCACCGCCCACCGCCCCCCTTCTCCCCGTCGGCCATGATCTATCTCCACTGCTGTCGCCATCCCCCGCAAGCCAACTCGCCCTCACTCTACCCGGTTAACGGGATGTAATTCGCAGCGGTGCAGGACGACAGGTGAAGATAAGTTGCCGGAGGAAAACGCCTTCGCCGCGTCTGGAGTATTTGGAGAGCTTGGCCGGTTCTCGCTCGGGACGGTCCACAGTGGCAACACAAACTTTCTACGGCAGTTTGGTTCGCGTTCAGATCAATTTTATGCCAGTTGCCGTGCCCACCACCCGCCACCCTTCCATTCCCATCGCCCCGCCCCCCCACAGGTACCGAACAAGCGACGGAGCGAATGCGCGAATGAGAATACGTCATGGACGATCGTAATTATTATTTATTTCCCCCCCCCCCCCCCACCCCAGGTCATCCTGAAGGCCTTCTCGAGAGAGGCCCTGCAGAACTACGTGCCCACGATCGTGGAGGAGGTGTCGGCGATGCTCGCCGACTGGTGCTCGCGCTCGCGCCCCGTGCTTGTCTACCCCGAGGTCAAGGTGCTCATGTTCCGTGTCGCCATGCGGCTGCTGCTCGGCATAGACGTGAGCGGCATGGCGCGCGGCGAGATCCACGCCCTCGTCGGGGTCTTCGAGGAGATGATCCGCAACCTCTTCTCGCTGCCCATCGAAGTGCCCTTCGGCGGCCTCTACCGGGTACGGCGGCGTTGTTGTAGTTCAACCGTGGCGATCCGTACCCATTCTTGGTTTAGAGCAACCTGCGGCTCTGGAGCCACGGAAGAAGTCCAGTTTAGCGTACGAGTCCCGTTTACCATGGGAGTCCAGTTTACCGTGGGAGTCCCGTTTACCGTGGGAGTCCAGTTTACTGTGGGATTCCAGTTTACCGTGGGAGTCCAGTTTACCGTGGGAGTCCCGTTTACCGTGGGAGTCCCATTTACCGTGGGAGTCCAGTTTACCGTGGGATTCCAGTTTACCGTGGGAGTCCAGTTTACCGTGGGAGTCCAGTTTACCGTGGGAGTCCAGTTTACCATGGGATTCCAGTTTACCATGGGAGTCCAGTTTACCTTGGGAGTCCAGTTTACCATGGAAGTCCAGTTTACCATGGGATTCCAGTTTACCGTGGGAGTCCAGTTTACCGTGGGAGTCCCGTTTACCGTGGGAGTCCAGTTTACCATGGGATTCCAGTTTACCGTGGGAGTCCAGTTTACCATATGGAGTCCAGTTTACCGTGGGATTCCAGTTTACCATGGGAGTCCAGTTTACCATGGGAGTCCAGTTTACCATGGGAGTCCAGTTTACCGTGGAAGTCCAGTTTACCATGGGAGTCCAGTTTACCGTGGGAGTCCAGTTTACCATGGGAGTCCAATTTGCCATGCCAACGCAGCAGCAGCATCACCAAATAATTAGTTTAATTACAGCTAAAATAATTAACTCCCTGACCATTTGATGAATCGTCAAAATTTGGGGTCACGATTCCATTGTTTTTAACACTGCCTGCGGTGAATGGTAGCGCCTCTAGTGGCTTGCAAGGGGTGCTTCGGAACCGAACGACAACGATAATTATCACACCCACCATTCGATTCAGCATCGCAAGCTTTGAGGGTCGCTATTAATCGACCGATGCTGCACATCATTTCCCCCTATCGTTGACTCTTAACTCGTTCACTTTCCCCACTTCGTTTTTGACAAAAATAAAACTTTTTTTTTAACGTGAACCTCTGGATAATTCCCGGCCGACTGTTCTTGATCATTCCGCAGGGGCTGAAAGCGCGAAACGTCATCCACAGCAAAATCGAGGAGAGCATCAAGAAGAAGTTGAGCAGTCCCCCGACGGACGGATGCAAGGACGCGCTGCAGATGCTCATTGAACATTCGCGGGAAAACGGCAACTGCCTGAGCTTGCAGGTGAACTTCTGAACATAGCCTCGACACTTTAACACGTAGCCTTTCGCGACCAATATTACCCACAATTCTGGCTGTCAACCTGATGAGGCTGGTTGTAATTACCGAGCGAAACGTCGTACTCGAATTGTAAATGTTGTGGGTTTACTCTCCGACACACCGGTGTGTTGGACTAGTAACTAATTGTCACGTTTTGTTTACGTGATAAACTTTACCAATTGGCCGTGTCGGGTGGTGGCGGGTTTAATGACACATTTGTATTCACGCGATCTGACCCAAAAGAGAAAACGAATGGTTAGCCTCGATCGTCAGACATTGGATACGGCCAGTGGTGCTGCTGGTCCAGTGGGGGGTGGGGGGTGGTGGGGGTGGGGGGGTGGGGGGGTGGGGGGGGGCCCTCATTTGGGGGAAGTTTGCCCCCCTAACGATTTATACGCTTCCAGTGAAATGACAGAAGGGATGCAGTGTAGATAGCGGGAGAGGTACGGGAGGGGACGTGAATGAGCGTTTGACGTCAATTGGCTTTGTGTACGTATTAGGATTTGAATCAGAGATGATATTTGGTTCACCAATCATGAGTTGTTTCGTGATTTTTGGGGGCCCTGAGCTCTCACTGAGCTTGCTCACTTTCGTGCGCTGCAAACCGCTGGATGCACCCTCTCAGCTCTCCAGAGAGAGCGAGGGAGAGGGTGTGCGCGCCTTGATGCACACGATGGCACAAAATGAAATAAAGCCCCCTCCAGTCCAACCTACAGCCCCATTTCCAGCCCCCGTGGCCTGCAGCCTCCCTCCCCCCCCCACCCCCCCCCCGTGCAGTGGCACTGCCTGCACACAAACGCGTGACAGCCACGCCTGGGTGGGCCCCCGGCTGAGACAAAGCGGGAAAGCGCAAGCACAAGCGCCCGCTCACCACTCACCGCTCACCACTCACTACTCACTACTCACCACTTCCTGCTTACCGCTCACTGCTCCCCGCTCACCGCTCCCCCGCTCACCGCTCCCTGCTTACCGCTCACCACTCCCCGCTCGCCACTCCCCCGCTCACCACTCCCCCGCTCACCGCTCCCCCGCTCACCGCTCCCCGCTCACCGCTCCCTGCTTACCGCTCACCACTCACCGCTCACCACTGCCCCGCTCACCACTCCCCCGCTCACCACTCCCCCGCTCACCACTCCCCCGCTCACCACTCCCGCCTCACCACTCCCCCGCTCACCACTCCCCCGCTCACCACTCCGCCCGCTCACCACTCCCCCGCTCACCGCTCCCCGCTCACCGCTCCCTGCTTACCGCTCACCACTCACCGCTCACCACTCCCCCGCTCACCACTCCTCCGCTCACCACTCCCGCCCCCTCCAGGACCTGAAGGAGTCGGCCACGGAGCTCCTGTTCGGGGGACACGAGACGACGGCCAGCGCCGCCACGTCGCTCGTCATGCACCTGGCAATCCACCCGCACGTCCGCTCCCGCCTGAGGAGCGAGCTCAAGCAGCAGGTATAACACCGCCAAGGTGGCTATGAGATGTTATCTCCCTCGCCTGGTACGCAGGAGGTCGTGGGATCGATCCCGACCCTGACGCCGGTTTGCTTGTCTCTCTCTCTCCCCGTGGTCACGTGGATTTTTCTCCGGGCCCTCCGGTTTTTCCCTTCACATTTTATAATCAACGTCACGGGTCTAGAGGATTTGGCTGCTGTACATTACCGCGCCACCAAAATTTTGATCCGCCAGCCGTCGCCCTCGGCTTCGTGTCCGACGATTCGGCGAGACATCCGGGTGGTGCACACCCCTCGCGAGGGGTGACTGGGAGCGGCCGCCCCCACCCTCGCCCCCACCCTTGCCCCAGCAGTGCCTACCCAAGACGTTCCCCACCTCGTGGCGTAACGATCCGCCTAGCGCCTGTGACCGAGCTGCCCTTGGTGCACCGTTCCCTTCCCCTCACCCCTCCACTCTGTCCCGTCCCTCCCCTGTAGCCCTCTTGTGATCCCCCCACCTGCTCCTCCGTTACGGTCGCTCATCCCTCGGCCCTTGCCCGCCCCTTGCCATCTAAATCACTCGATTCTTGTTCACCGCTTTGAATCTGCGTAGAGCGCCTTGAGCCAAGGCGCTCCACAAAGATAAAATAAGACGAAGCAAAAAAACATGTCTACAAAATAAGATGAGATAAGATTACAGACATTTAGGTCTGACCTTTGGCTACGTGCACAGCGTTGGCTTTTGATGGAAATCCGAGGTTACATCCATCCCACCTTTGATTCAACCGAGGGGGTCGAGCTGGCTGCCAAGGAATTGAATTACTCACGGCGGGGGTGATGGTTTTTGTGGCCTTTGTGTTGTTTGCTGGCAGGGCTTCACCGCGGAGCGCACCATCAGCTCCCTGGCGGAGCTGGAAGAGCTGAAGTTCGTGGCGAGCGTGGTGAAGGAGACGTTGCGCGTGAGCCCGCCGGTGGCCGGGGGCTTCCGCGTGGCGCTCAAAACCTTCGAGATCAACGTGAGCTGCTTTCCTGCGCCGGGGACGCACGCACCCGCTCGCACGCACCCACGCGCACGAACACGCGTCGGAACGGACGACAAGTGACGTCTCACGGTGGCATTATGTAAACTAAAAACTATTTCAAACTAAACTGTTTCTTTTGCTTTATCAGTTAAAGCCCACTGAGCAATAGAGATCTTTTTCAGAAGCGACCTGGCCACAAATTATAGCTCAACGAAGTGGCTTATCCTGTAGAAATTTATAGCAGCCGCATACTCTAAATGCACGTGACCACGGGGACAGCATGCAAACCCCAAATATACAGGCGTTGGAGTGAGGATCAAACCCTCGACCTCCTGTATACCAGGTGAGGTAGTTAACATCTCGCCACCGTGGCGCCCTCTCCCTCGCCTAGTATCCAGGAGGCTGTGGGTTCAATCCCAACCCTGACGCCTGTATATTTGGAGTTTGAAAGTTTCTCCAGTTCCTCCGGTTTCCTCCTCCACATTTAGAATCAGCGTCACGCTTTCAGAGTATTTGGCGTTTATAAATTTCCGCGCGATATGCCACTTCGTTGAGCTATCATTTGTGAAGGCCAGGTCGCTTCTGAATAAAAGAGCTACGCAACTCGGTGGACCTAACCTGGTGAAAACAAATTAAACAGTTTGTAAATATCCTGAGATCGATGTAAAAACCTCACGAGAGCTGTCTGGGTACGGGTGGTCGGGACACCGCGCTGGCACCGCCGAGGCCCTCGCTTCGTCTCCCTTTGGCACTCGAGCCGGGCACGTCATCACACGGGTGCCCTCGGTGCTCGGTCACCCGTGTGATGACGCGTCCCCATTTCCTCCACCAGGGCTACCAGATCCCCAAGGGCTGGAACGTGATCTACAGCATCAAGGAGACGCACAACATGGCCGAGAACTTCCCCAAGCGCAACGACTTCGACCCCGACCGCTGGATGACCGGCGGCGACGCCGGCGGCGGCAACGGAGACGCGGCATCGTCGCGCTTCACCTACATCCCGTTCGGGGGCGGCTCGCGCAGCTGCGTGGGCAAGGAGCTGGCGCGACTCATCCTGAGGATCGTGGTGGTGGAGCTGTGCCGGCGCTGCGAGTGGGAGCTGCCCAACGGGCCCCCCACGCTGGTGACGGCGCCGTCACTCTACCCCGTGGACAATCTGCCCGCCAGGTTCTCGGCCTTCTCGGCCGACGACTGGAGATGATGATGATCATGATGATTATTTTAATAGTTCGTTCATTTTATATGGCGTCATTTATGCCAGCACAAGACGAAAGATATTTAAACGATTTTTATGTTGTCAGGTGAGGCCCAATGAGCTATACAGCTCTTTTTCAGAAGCAACCTGGCCACAAATGATAACTCAATGAAGTGGCTTATCATGCGGACATTTATTGCGGCCAAATACTCTAAACGCACGTTTCTAATTGTGGAGGGAAAAATAACGGAGGACCCGGAGAAAAATCCCCACGGCCACGGGCTGATAGGCACCGCAAACTCCAAATATACAACAGGCGTCGGGGTCGGGATCGAACCCATGACCTCCTGCATACCAGGCGAGGTAGTTAACATCTCTACGGGGAGAGAGAGAGACATACAAACTCCATATATACATAAGACGTCAGGGTCGTGATCGAGCCCCCGATCCTCCTGCATACCAGGCGAGGTAGTTAACATCTCCCCAGCATCCCGCAACGCTGTACATTAATTATATACAAGGACCGAATCCAATATATGTGCTTTGCTACGCATGGTGCGAAAGAAGCCCAACAGACACACACACACACCAACGAAATGAAAATCCTTCTACCAAGAAAAAAATAAAATTAATGAACAAAACAAAAAAAACGGCATAAACAAAAAAATATACCCTTGGTTCTTTCGGTAAAGTCACGTAGATAGAAAATACTAATGAAATAATAAAATAAATAACAATAATGAATTAACAATAAAAGCAAAAAAACTATATATTTTTAATTTATTATTTTTAATTTAATTTTAATTTATTATTTGTTTTTTCTATCTACGTGACTTTACCGAAAGAACCAAGAATATGAATTTCTGCAGTCACGAAAGTTTTAAGTTAAAACAAAAAAAAACTTACCACAACAAAGGTCTACGACTTAGAACATCCTAGAACACAATCTCAACTTCCCCCAACCATGGCAGGAAATATTCACAGGGGAGAGGCGGTGGGTGATGATGACGATGCCTTCGACTCCTCACAAGGAGGAGTTTTATTGTTGTTGTTTTGTTGATTGAATTCGGCACAGGCGGGGGAAGGGAAGTGATTGTTGAAGGAACGGTGGGTGAGCAAGGGGGTGGTTTGAGCGTCAAACATGAATCGGAATCGGATGCATTTACACTGGGGGGGAATCCGAAAAGCTGTAAAGCTCTTTTTCAAAAACGTCCGGTAAATATGTGAATTGACAAAAGGTCAAAGTTGGCCAATTGTGGCATGAAAAATGGCCAAAGTTTCAGTGGTCGAGACACTAAATATTGACACAAACTGCATTCTTGCCAATACGCGACTGAGGCCCCACGATACAGGCCAGTCGGGCCCTTTGACCAGAACATCTGCAAAGAGCCCAATCGCAAATCTCAGCGTCCAAGCAGGTTTGAGCCTGGATAGTGTATTTATGGGTGGCCACTGTGTATTGTGGGTTGGTATAGTCTGTCAGGCTAAGTAGTGGGCAGCAGAGAGCAGCACAGTGAATCAATAGTTATACCCTACTTCTATGCACCCCACCTTGACTTCGCATCATACGCTCAAGTATAATAGATTGTGTGAGTGACGCCTGCTTGCGTTGATTAGCGATGGAATCTTTTAGAAACGCGTTGTCTACGATGCCAGGATATGCTCATTTGTTGCGTCTGGCTTCAATTATAGCTTGCCTACATAGTGACGACTAATGTAACCTATTTCATGAAACATTTTTATAAACACGTGTTTGTTTTTTATAACTGTAAATTACATTTCCGTGATCCTGAGATGTATAATATGTATCATAATTTTGTTAAATATGTATCATTTTGTTCGCATGTGAATCTACCCATCGTAGCTTAGGCTCTTTAGTATTTTAACTTCATATGGTCATCTTTTGTTGATATGAAATGCCTTAATTATTGTTGACAATCTACTATATTGGACAGCACTAAAATGTGTAACGTTCCGTACTGAATGCACGCTCGTTTGTAATGTCATTTCCATTAAATGTATTTCGTCTTCAACGAGACTGTCAGGTTATTACGATTCCAGGCAGTCGCCTCTGGTGAAACTGGGTACAACTGGGTACTCGTGTGCAGTGAGTCGATGGTCTCAGCCCAATCACCAATGACTGCGCGACCCCCCCCCCCCCCCCCCCCCCACCAATTAAATAAACTTTGGTTTTGCACTTAATTTGGCTGTCTTTGAGAATTAAAAACACGGGTTTGACCATCATGCTACGCACATTTCGTCTCCTATAGCAGAGCGTCTGTGGCCCAGGGATCACCCAGAAGGAATTTTGAACTAGTTCTGCGGCATCCGCTTCCGCGGACCGTTCACCGGCATGAAGGGCCGTGTTGTTCTGCGAGAGATCCGAATAGATACGTCTTCGCCTTGTGACTTGACACCGATACAATTGGGGGGAGACGATGTATTTTTTAAAGCCCCTCTGCTCTAGAAATCTGGAGCAGCAGTGGATTTTAAGAGCTCCCAATAGCCACCTCTGATGGTTCTCTTGACAATCTTTGAACTGTCCACACCGCTACCGTGTTAAAGTAATGTGTTGCCATTATGGCCGTTAGCCACAACTTAAACATCGCTTAACAAGGCGAGTGGATCAAGCGCTGAGATTCGTGTACTCTTCACGGTGAGGTTACCTATGATGTAAAGTATCTCTTTGTGGGGGGAGTCAAACGTGGTTATGCTATGGTGAGACTTGCCACTGTGTCAGGGCTGTAAGCAGATGATGAGCATTGCCTCGATGCTCATTTGAGCAGAACATCGTTTCGACTTTTGCATTTTTCCAGAAGAGCAATCCCCTAAGCATTATTATTGAATTGACATTTGCAAAAAAAATTCAAACTGCACGGTGCGATTTGGTATTTTTCTCAACGTACATTCAAAAATTGAGTATATGATTGATCATCGTGGAAAGATTATAGTGTTGTTAAGAAAAAATAGGACAATTACTCATGGAATGCATCTACCATCATCGCGAATGACCGAGTGGCTGCTGTGAATACGGAGAAAGGCTGGAAGAAAACTGAAATTTGGCAAGTTTATGACACCTATAAAAATCTAATGTAAAAAGATGATAACATTTCTCATTAGTCCTTATGCAATTTATGGCCCAGAGATTGGTTTCACTCTCGGGGCAGGGTACTGCAAAGTTTAGCATTTTATCTTGGCTTTCACTTTTAATGATCTTTTTTTCTTAATTTATGTCGTGTTGAAATTTTCCCACGTACAGCGCTTTGTGACCTTTCAATGAATTGCGCTTTTTTAAATATGCAGCCGCATTATTATAATTATTGCTTAAAGTTTCATACTATCAGTGAACCTAGTAATTCACCTTCCGTGGAGTGTGTCACTAAAGCTGATGGAGAGCAGGTGGAGGAAGTTAAGAGTATTATTACTAAAATTTATATATAGACTGTATGCATCTTAGTACACGGTATGCATTTACTCCCAAAGGGCATCAATTACAGGTTTGCCATATATAGAGGTGAGCAAATTAGGATTAGCCTTCGTAAATTTTATTTATTTAGCGAATGCTTTGACACGTGACTGTCATACAGTTAGAGTACCAGACATGCAAGAAAAATAAATACACGTGTTTGTCAATGCTATATGTTGTGAGTGGACGTCAGCCCACGTAGCCACAGAGCCTGCTCCTCCAGCACGTTAATAGCTATCCTGTTCAGAAATGTCAGCAACCTATTTAAATCTCCCTCCTGCAGCCACCTTGCTAGCAGCCAACATCCTTGACTTATCCCCAAGTAACATTTGAAAATATTACCGCTGCGGTGCGAGTGAGTGACGCTTGAATCGCCCGTTATCTTTACCGCCTGGGTTCAAATCCAGGCAGCCGCTTGCGATCAAAGTGTATTTATTTTTCTTGCATCTCTGGTGGCTTCTAAGTGAAGGGAGTTGACGATCTCAGCTCAGTCACCAACGCCTGCAGGGAATAACAAAAAAATCAAACGTTGCATTACAATTAGTTCTGCAGTTATTGGAGCATGAAAATATCAGTTTGACTGTCATATGAAAAAAAATCACTCTGTGGCAGGGTCAAAGCTGCCCTCTGCTGCATGGACCGGAGGTCACTTGAACAGATCTCAGAGGTTAGCTCTGTGAAATCCGCTTCCGTGGGCCATTCTCTAACACAGTCGGTGGTTTGTGTTGCCCTGCGAGAGATCCGGAATGGACGCTTCGTGAAATTGTCGATAAAGACGCAAAAAAAAGGTAAAGAAAAATAAACCGGCGTTTATCTCTTGCCGAGAGTCGTTCAATTTGCCGGCATCGGCAGAGATACGAGTCTCGAGTTATCGGCCGAGTAATCAGTCACGCAGGTGATTCCGCGAGAAGAGCGATGAAAGGTGAACTTTGGAACACTTTGTGTCATAACTGTGCTCTGCAATGTGCACCGTGACGACTCTGTGTCTGCTACGCTTCCTTTGAAGGAAGAAAAAAATGTAATCGGCCCTAGCTTACGCCAACAATGGAAAAATCAACAAATCCTGCGCCATAAAAACAACGCATTCATCCGAAAAAAACTGACTCGTGCAGAATCTCAACTTTTCAACTTTCAACTTTTCAACTCTTCACACTTGACATGGGAAAAATAAAAGACGCAATTGCCAGAACAGCCTCTCTCTACCCCCCCCCCCATCCCTCTACACCCACCCCGCTCCCTCCCATCACACTCCATACCCCCCCCACTCCACACCAATTTGTGGGCCACACAATTGTCAAGACCCTTATGGGCATAATGCCTCTTGTCAAAAAAGCAAAGGGATGACCCCGTTCCCGAGGAGCTCTTGTGTAGCCACAGCTATTGTTGAGCCTAAAGTAAACTTCCTGGACAAGGGCAATTCCAGTGTTATGACTACTCGCCTGCCCAGAAGTTTCCCCTCCGTGCGGGCGACGTAATATATTTATTTATATACGTATCTATCGAGTGACTTATTTCAATATTACGTGGACGCCTGCTCGAGAACGCACACAGGATGACACTCAAATACACCTGCAGAAGTACAGGTATAATACAGCGTGTGTGTATACATGTATGTGTGTATCTATAGTTGTGGTGCTAACGACTCGACTGGGCAATGAACCCCGCTGGCCATCAATCGGTGAGTGATCTCTTGAAATGGATATTTACCCAAACTCCCACCACACCTTCACCAACAACTACACTGCCGAGTGTGGTGTGAAGTATGGTC